CAGGTCCTGGCATTCCCAAGGCCCCTCTAACATCTGGCTCCAGGCTGTGGGTGGTGGGAAGCCTGGCTCTCTCCTGCCCAGGAGGCTGGGAAGCGGGGGAGCCCTTCGGGGTGGAAAAATAACTCCCCTCCAGTCCCCCCCAGAAAGTGAGAGTCCTATGTGGTAAACACTGACTTTTCCATAAGCTTCATAATGACCCTATCAAGACTAAACTTTTTTTTTATTTTATAAAGTAGTTCACAATATTTCATTACATTTAATACTCAAACACCAATCCCACCATCACGACACCTTCCCACCACCACATTTCAGATGTTTCCATCCTGAACCCCAATCCCTGTCCCAAAACAAAACCCAAATAATATATTTTGTATTGTTCTGAAAAAAACACTGAAAATGCTACAAAAAAGTAACCTTAGAGGAAAGAGTGTGGAGATTGTTGTTTTTCACCCAGGGGCCATTCAACCCACCTTGGTGTCTGCTGGTGTTTGGAAGTCTTATCCTTTGTTATAAATACACACACACACACACACACACTCACAAACACACATTTGGAAGTTTTGTCCCTTGTTATATAAGCGCGCGCACGCGCACGCACACACACACACACACACACACACACACACACACACACACACCTGCATTACATTATCTCTAAGTTCCAGAAAACTGGTTGACGAGCATTTGTCTCTCCTCATAGCTGTCTCTTTCCCTTTGGGCATTCCACATAACCAGCCACTGATAAGTGATGAATACATCCCTTTACAAAGCTCCCTTGTGGGGTGAGGTGTTATCAGAGCCCGCTGGGTGAGTGAAGTAATAAGTGCCCAGTGCACTTACCACACTGTCCGCTGGCGATGTTCTGTCCCCATACTCACTGACCCTGAAGGGCACGCACCAATGACTTACTCTACAGACAGCATGTATGAAACTCTGGATTAACAACATGTCAGAAAGCGCACCACTTTTCAAGGCCTGTGGTCTAATTCCACCTTCATCAAATCTATCCAACCACTAGCATCAGCTCCACACAATGTTCTGTGCAACGAGCACGAAATGCTAAGAGGTTCCCCGCAGCCAACAGCAAAACACAAATTGTCACTTAGCTGCGTATCATCCAATGTGCAATATCAGGGGTCTTCTCTGTTCCTATCTCCCCACCTTTAGACGTGAGCCTCCATTAACTAACCCACTCATTTAAGATTTCTGCCTGTTTTTGAGTTCCTTCTCACCTGCTCATTCTAAAGCCCATTAGGTATGACCCAGGAAGAAATGCAAATACTGACATGTTCAACTTGTTAGGACAGACGAGCTAAGACAGTCACTTCTAACTATTCATTTCTGACCCACAAGCATTTATAAGAAGATGAAGGGATCATCTCAGGGTGATGAAATCCAAATAGGGAAAAAGTAAATGTTAGAAATCTTAAGCCCCCTAAACTTCGAGTCTGCTCACAAGACACATAAAAAGTTCAACCTGTACGAGATTTCTGAATTTCCTTCCCTTGTGTCCCCTAAATGTCAGAACAAGCACTCCTTCATTGTCAGGAAACATGCATGAGAATAAAGGAAAAAGTATTAAAGAACTTAAACTGACTTCTGGTGTTGGGTGTGCCCCGCCTGGCTCCCAGCTGACTGCACCAGACAGCAGTAGTCCTGTGTGTGACCCCAGCCCCCACCAGCCACCCAGCCTGAGTTTCCCTGACCCATCACTCTGGCCACCAGCTGTGGAATCCGTCCAGGCCCCGCCCATCAGCCCTATGGGCTCCCCCAGCTCAGCGGGCACCAACTGGGGCTCCCTCTGCGAGCATTTCGGTCATTGGAGTCACCTCCTTGGCAGGAATAACAGGAAAGCCGTTGCCTCGCACACGAGTTCTGTCTTCTCTGAAGCAACACGGTAAAGTGTCATGCACATACACACGCACGCACACACACACGCACGCACACACGCACACAGGCTGTGCTCGGAGCTGACCAGCAAACCCAGGCAGGACACACCTCTGAGCCCATGGCTTGCAAATGAACACAGGAACCAGGTCACACCATCAGCCCACGGGGCCCTGAGTCTAGGGCTGGAATTAGGATCCATCAGATTCTGGTGACAATCATATTGCTCCCCAACTCACGCAACTAGCAGAGCTCAGAACCCAGGGGTAGAAACAGGAAGAAGGGCTCACTCACTGACACACAATCCCATCTGCTCTGGGTCCAGAGACTGAGGGGTTGAAGGTAGCTGTATGTTAGTTTTCTAATGATCACTTCCGCGGGAACTGCCACTGATGCCCAAAATAACTTCATACAAAACTTTAGAAGACAGAGCAATAGTACGGTGGGGAGGGTGTTTGCCCTGCACACGGCTGGCCCAGGTTCGATCTCTCACATCCCATATGGTCTCCCAAGTACCACCAGGAGTAATTCTGAGAGCAGAGCCAGGAATAAGCCCTGAGCATCACTGTCAGCCAAACAAACAAACTTTAGCTCTAAGTGAACATAGCTAAACATCTTTTTATAAATAACTGTCCATATACTCAAGCCAAGGATTCCTGGAATGCAAATTTCAACAATTACATTCAACTGACTTTTAATCTTTATTCAAAATGAGAATAAATACAGTAAAATAATATACACAACTATACAATGTTTTGAACGGCTTTATTATTCCTTTAAAGCTTTGTATTTAAAATGTCTACATGACCTGTGCTTACGCGGGATCAAGACCATCAAACCTGACCACACACATAAAGTTAGCAGCTTTATTGCACACTGACCCCTGGAAGAGCCTGTTTGTCTAGTTCAGCCCATGCCATAAAGTGCTTTTCATAGGTGCAAAGGTACTTACTGGCTACTGAGCTGAGAAATCTTCCATGACATTTTTAACTTGGGTTGGGGCAGAAAATCTTATTAGTTTTTACCAGCCTAAATTACATACTCCCACTAAAACATATAACCTTACCCAAAAACAAAACAAAACCATATCTACACATTTGGTGAGTCTATTAAAGCACGTCCACAATTTTCCAAAATAATAAGTTGAATTCGTGCTAAGTGCATAATGGTCTAGTTTAGGAACACTCTATAGGTTAAAAAAAAATTGGAGGGGAAGGAGTTTAAATAAAAACCATCTTGGGGCCAGAGAAATAGTACAGTGGGTAGGGCACTTACCTTGCACACAGCCGACCTGGGTTTGATCCCCGACATCCCATGTGTCCGAAAGCAGCACCAGGAGTGAGTCCTGAGCACAGAGCCAGGAGTAATCTCTAAGCACTGCCAGGTGTGAGCCCCTCCCCCCAAAAAAAGCTCAGAATGAATATTTTTCCAAACAAATGTAAAATTTAATGGTCCCCTGAAGCACCGCTAGGAGTAATTTGTGAGTGCATGAGTCAGGAGTAACCCCTGTGCATCGCCAGGTGTGACCCAAAACGCAAAAAAAAAAAACAAAAACAAGAGAGAGAATGTAAAATTTAGAAAAAATATACTTCTTCGAATTAAAAAATTTTTTAACTTTTTGGGGAGAACACACAATTATTGGGATCTTTATTATTATTCCTAGATAATTAGCACAGCGGTAGGGCGTTTGCCTTGCACGCAGCCAACATGGCCGACCCGAGTTCGATTCCTCTGCCCCTCTCGGAGAGCCCGGCAAGCTACCAAGAGTATCTCGCCCGCACGGCAGAGCCTGGCAAGCTCCCCGTGACGTATTCGATATGCCAGACACAGTAACAACAAAGTCTCCAATGGAGATGTTACTGGGCCCGCTCGAGCAAATCGATGATCGAGCAATTTCCTTTGTATTTGCTTATATATTAAAAACTACCAAAAAAAAAAAACCCAGAGGGAAGGCCCACCCACTGCCCCAGGAGTCCCTGAATATGGTATAATCTAGTTAATGACACTAAAACTGGGCCATAAACCGTTGATTAAGCATGTAAACATAAACAACTATAATATTTGTGCCCCAGCTGAAAACCATGAGAGAGTAGATAAAAGAATAAATATGGGGCCAGATAGACACTATCGAGGACCGGGCACTTGCTTCGCACACAGCTGACCCGGTCAATCCCAGGCACCACATATGGTCCCCCCGAGCCCTGCCAGGAGTGATCCCTGAGCACAGTTGGGTGTGGTCCAAACAAAATAGGACAGATAACTGTATTTTCATTAATATTTATAAAAAATATCTCAAGACAAATCTTTCTGAAAAAGAAAAAAAACTGTTGAAGCTTCCTGTGGTAAGCTGAGAACTGGTTCCTTGCAAAAAATCATGTCTATGACGGGCAGGTGCGGGCACCAGCCAAGAGAATTCTTCCAGTCTCCTTAAGAAAACAATTCCTGGGGGCTGGAGCGATAGTATAACGGGTAGGGCATTTGTCTTGCATGTGCCCCTCCCCCGGGTTCGATCCCCAGCATCCCATATGGTCCCCCCAAGCACCACCAGGAGTAATTCCTGAGTACCCATAGCTGTGGTCCCAACCCCCCATAAGAGAGATAATTTCTGGTCTTGAAAAAAAAAAGCAGTATTCATTTTGCAGGCATCACTTAATTTATACATCTCAAAATACCTAATTTCCCATTTAAATATGCTACCATGCCTATTTTTTTAACTTACCTATGTTCTTATCTTCCTAGTCAAAGCAAACACAAGACACAGTGATGACTACGCATTTCTACCCATAAGGCATTCAGAACCCATCTTCTTAGGACATACAGGTGACATAAAAACCAAGAAGCAAACTTGAAAGAAGACACGCAATGAATCCATCCCCCCACCCCAAAAGGGGGCATCAAGTCAGCGTCACTCACTGACAGAAACAAGCTGGATTTCCTGGTGCTCAGAGAAGGGGCGGAGTGGCACCGTTTAAACCATCAGCGCTGACCCTTCCGGCCGCGGCTCCCACTGGGGCCCTCTCGAGAAGAAAGACACACGACAGCCAGGCATGGGGGCAGACCCCTTAGACGATATGTAATCACCGATGCAAAGGTGGATAACACTGTGGCCGTACTTCACTCCTTCCCGTCTCTCCTTATCCTAAGTCCCATCCGATGCTTAGCCTACATGTCGTCTGGGTAGTCGAGGTACTTGGCCGTGATGGGCTCCTCGAGCTGGACGGCGCCGCTGCCCATGAGCGCGAAGGCGGGGAACATTGTGTGGGAGCAGTCCACGGGCCGCTCGTACAGGCAGCGCATGTGCTCCATGTCGTAGAAGCTCACCTGGCCCTGGTCGCAGTCCAGGCACACCCCGATGCTGCTGGGCATGGGCAGCACGCGGGCCTCGGACCCGCTCGCCGAGGGGGACGACTTGGGCACGAAAAACTTCCTCATGCCCAGAGTGACCAGCGTGAAGGGCTGGGCCGAGTCAAAGCAGGTCTCTTCGCTGCCGCTGTCGTGGCCGCTGTCTTGCTCATACCTGAAACACAAGGGGAGGCTCTGAGCCGACTCCCGGCACCCGGGGAGGGTCGCACCCCGCCGTCAGCACAGCCCCTCCACCCAGGCCTTCCAAGTGGCCACACCGGGCACCAAAGGTGACCGTGACTTCTATACCAAAAAGACTTCCTACCAGGCTGGCCCACTTTCCCAGGCCTCTGAGCCCCTTGGACATGCAACCCCATCCTCTCCCCTTATATCTAAGTAAATTTCTCTCAATTAAAAACTATTTAACAACAACAACAACAACAACAAAAATGATTCTACAAAAGGGGTTGGGGATGTGGCTCAGAAGTAGAGCACCAGAGCTGGAGCAATAGTACAGTGGGTAAGGTGTTTGCCTTGCACATGGGCGATCCAGGTTCAGTCCCTGGCAACTCATATGGTCCCCCAGCACCTCCAGGAGTAATTCCTGAGTGCAGAGCCAGGAATAAACCCTGACCATCACTGGGTGTGATCCAAAAAGAAAAAAAAAAAAAGAAGTAGAGCACCAGCCTTCATTATGAGCCCTTGGTTTGAACCCTGTGATTTGTTTAAAACCTAATCAATCAAAAATGAATGGATTAAAAGGTAAACAATCAAAAACCATTAAGGACAGGGGCCAGAACAATAGTACAGCAGGCAGGGCATTTGCCTTGCACACGGCTGACCTGGGTTCCATCCCCAGCATCCCGTATGGTCCCCCGAGCACTTCCAGGAATGACCTGGATTCATGAGTGCAGAACCAGGAGTTACCCCTGAGCATTGCCGCGTGTGACCCAAAAAGCCAAAAAAAAAGAAAGAAAAAGGACAGCAGCATGTTGCCAGTTTGAATGATAGCACAGACTCGTCCCCAAATATCATGACATAAAACGTAATCCAGGTATTTACCTCAATATATAAACAAGTGAGAGAATTATAAATCACCTTGCAATTAAAAAAATATGGCGTTAGGGGCTGGAGCAATAGCACAGTGGGTAGGGCGTTTGCCTTGCATGCAGCTGGCCCGGGTTTGATTCCCAGCACCCCTTATGGTTCCCCGAGCACCGCCAGAAGTAATTCCTGAGTGCATGAGCCAGGACTGACCCCTGAGCATTGCCAAGTGTGACCCAAAAAGCAAATAAATAAATAAATAAAATATTTTTTAAAAAAAGACATCTATGGACTATAATCTGAGGCTCACTTCTATGGACTGTAATCTGAGGATCACTTCACTGGTTAAGTAAAATAAACGGGAACTACAACACAGCAAGAGGAAAAGCAGATTTCAACCTCCTATAAGGAACAAGAAGCAGTACTTCCTTCTCCAAGATTTCTGCGTGATGGAAGATGGTGACGGTTTCCGTCCCTCAATCCTAAAACAGCAGCAGCTTACGGAGAGTCTTAATGCAAAGTTCCTTTGATTTCTCATCTTTAGGCACAAAATTTTCCCTATCAGACTTGAAAATCTGAATTTCGGGGTGGTGGTTGGGGATGGCTGGGTCCCAGTGGGTGTGTGTAGGTCTTGCTTCTGGTTCTGCGCCAGGCCAGAGCGCAAGGCCCTGTGCTCTCTCCCTAGCCTGACCACATGGCTCAGGAAGCTGATGAGACAGATTTTCCCTGTGTGCAACTGCGAGGCGGCATCCCAACCATTGGGTGCCCTAAGGCAGACCCCACTTCCTCAGTGGATAGCTCCCTCTCTCCTTCCCGACTCCCCATCTCAGCCACAAACCCTCCGCCTGAGTGTCCCTGCCAGTGGTGGGGCCCACTGGGCTGAACCAGGCCACTCACTGAAGGGTCACTGCTGTCGGAGCGGGCTGGAGGCCACTGCAGCCCTGCTCGGCCCAGCACTGAGGGGCTTGGGGCTCAGGAGCCCTTAGGCAGCCCTGGGGGAGGGTGGAGCGGGATGGGGTGATGCTGGGGATCAAGCTCAGGCCTGAGCACGTGCCAGGCCCCTACTCTAGGCCTGAGCTGGACATTGCGTCTGAATACAAGAAAAACCCAGGGCTGGAGTGGTAGCACAGCAGGTAGGGCATTTGCCTTGCACGTGGCCAACCCAGGTTTGATTCCCAGCATCCCATATGGTCCCCCGAGCACCGCCAGGAGTAATTCCTGAGTGTATGAGCCAGGAGGAACCCCTGAGCATTGCCGAGCGTAACCCAAAAAGCAAAAAAAAAAAAAAAAAAAAAAAAGAAGAAAAAAAGAAAACCCCAAATGCAAATGACCAGGTCCAAGGTGGCGGGGGCCATACCTGGGGCTGCCTGAGTCAGATGGAGAGCGGAACCACTCCTGCAGCTTCTCAGCTGAGGCCACGCCTGCCTTGACCAGGTACGAGTAGGGCTCCACGCGGAAGGCCCAGAAGTGCTTCCCCTTGGCAATGCCCACATCGCCCACGATGTAGTCCAGGCTGGTGTAGGCACCCGCCTGGATGCGCTCAGCCGACAGCAGCAGGTTGAAGCCGGCACGGCTGTCCACACGGTCCCGCTTCAGGCTCAGGAGCAGGTGCTCGCTGCTGTAGCCGCACTTCTCGTCCAACAGGAAGCTGAACACTGCACACGGAGCTCAGAGTTAGTGGGGAAAACACAACTCAAGAACAAGCTTCACCAATGAAAAGGCCTGAAGCGGGGTGGGGCAGCGCCATAGGACAGCAGGTCCAGGTCAAGTGCTCACCTCGCCCAAGGCCTCACTACCAGCCCCCTACATGGTCCCCGAGTGGGTTCCTGGGCATCACCAGGTGTGGCCCTCCCCAGAAAGAAGACCAAGGAGACACAAAGGGTCAGGTCATGATGCTGCCCGGAAATGATGCCCAAGCCCCGACTTAAGAAATAACTGCCGGAAGCCATCCAAGTTCTCCAAAGTGGAAGAAAGTTTATAGTTTGAATTTGGAGAATGAGAAAACGGAGGGGCCGGAGTGGTCAGGGTGCTTGCCTGGTCCATGGCCAACCTGGGTTTGATCCCCAGCATCCCACATGGTCCCTCGAACCCCCCTAGAGTGATCCCTGATATTGGTGGAGGAAAGTAGATGCTCATGGAGAGATGGATGTTCCGATATTGTACCATGGAAACTCCATAACGAACAAGTTTGTAACTTGGTGTCTCATGATGATTCAATAAATTAAGAGAAACAGAGAGAGAGAGAGAGAGAGAGAGAGCGAGAGCGCACAGAGCCAGGAGTCAGCCCTGAGCAGCACTGGGTATGGCCCCCCCCAAAAAAAATAACTAAAGAGATAAAACTTACTCATGTAGTTCCTTAAAGCCACTATTGGAAAATCTATCTTAAATATTTTACAGAATTGGATCTGTCCCTTTTCTTCTAAAAGTGGAGTTTGTACACTTTCATAAAAAATACCGTTTCTTAAATGTGTTCCAAATTCAGGAAAGGGTAATTCTAAAGACTGACCAAAAATGGCTGACGTAAGAAAAGTATGTAGTATAATATATGTATATTATTAATGTACACACACACATCAATACACAAGCAGAGGCTCAAAGGTTCTAAGTTCAGGAAAACCTGGTTGTGATCCTTTCCAAGCACCCAGCTAGATTCTGACCTACACCTTCACCTCCTCAACTCCAGCTTGGGGGGGAACACTGACAACACACGAATGAAACTTCTACTGGCTACCAGCCCCCAAAGCAGAGGGAGACACCCAAAAGCTCATGGGCAAGGGATGGATAAAGAAAATGGGGTCGGCCCAAAGGAAGCTTTGCTAGATGCTACCGCCTGGATCAATCTTGAAACCGAGTCATAGAAGGACACTGATGCAAGGTGGCCAGCTCAGGCAAGGTCAGAGAGGCAGAGCGGGCTACCAACAGGCTCTGGTGAAGAGAGGCCTGACTATTATTCTTCTTATTACTCTATAACGAGCATGAATTATGGTCTGGGCCCAGGGGCTGTTCTGAGAGGGCCACTGGTGACCACAGCTGGACCACACTGTGAATAAGCTAATGCCACAGTCCATGCGAAGCACATCATAGCACAACAGAAAAGCCAGGTGAGACCACACTCCACTCACAGGCTGCTTATTCCTCCTGATAATGCCTTTTTTAAAATTGGCTTTTTTTGCGGGGGGGAGGGGGGCAGGTACACCCAGCAGTGCTCAGGGGTGGCTCCTGGCAGGGGGCAGGAATTACCTGCAGTGCTAGGATGGAACTGGGTGGGCTGCATGCAAGGCTGGGGTGAGCATCCCCACGCTGTCTCAGGCCCCTGGCCATGCCTTTTGTCCTGAAACCCCCCTGCCATCTCAAAAGTCTCCTCCTCCGCATTCCTTCCCCCCTCCTCCTCCTCTCAGGGACTAAGAGCAGCTACTTCCAGATTTCTCTTCTACTTTTAGCCCCGAGACTGGAGAGGAAGCAAAGATCATCAAATATTCATCATGCACACGTCCACCCTGAAGAGCTCCACTGCATTTTAATAATAAGAGTCAAGGAAAATAATGAAGCTAATCCTTGGCGTGTTTCCTTTCATGGCTCAACAGGCTACAGCGTGCGGGAGAAACAAAATGCAGGCAGTACAGTTTGGGCCAAAAGGGGAAGGAAAGGGACAGAGTACAAAAAACGGGGACAGAAGTCACTAAAAACAGACGGAGGAAAGGGATCTGAGAGCGGGGAGGGCCCCACAGCTCACAGAGCTCACTGCACATTCAGGGACCGCGTGCTCTTGTCCCCAAGACTCTGGCGTGGGCAGCGCCCAGGGCCCTGGCCAAGCCTCGGCTTGGGCAGTAGAAGCACTGGGCAGGCAGGAAGCAACCCTGACATCCCTGGCCGAGTCAGAAAAAGTGCCTGAGGGGCTGGAACAAGAGCACAGTGGGTAGGGCGTTTGCCTTGCACATAGCCGACCTGGGTTTAATTCCCAGCATCCCATATGGTCCCCCTAACACTGCCAGGAGTGATTCCTGAGTGCAGCGCCAGGAGTAACCCCTAAGCATCGCTGGGTGTGCCCAAAAAAAAAAAAAAAAGAAAGAAAGAAAAGGTGCCCGAGCCACTATGATGAGCTCAGCAGTGAGTCCGTGTCATCATACAAATGAGAACTGGGAATCTTGCCCCAGAACCTGTGGGAGAGACTTCCTAGGAACTGGTCTGATGTCTGCGTGTAGCGTGACACTATGGGAAAGGGACCAAGAAATGGGCATGTTGTTCTGATCCCATATTAAGGTGCTGGGAAGTCTTCCTGTCCTTTTTATTCTCCAATATCCCCCGTGAAAAGAACGGGATCCTGCTCTCAGCCCCCAAGGGGCAGGAAAGCCTGCTTGGATCTGTGGCCCAGCATGAACACTGCTGGACTCTCTCAGAGACTCTGCATTCGTTACGGACATCAGGGCCTCTGCTGTAGATGGCGCTCCCAGGATTAGGACAGGCCCTACCCGAGGTTCCCCTGTCACCTGTGGATCATTCAGAGTCGAGGTTAGTCACTGGAAACTTCCACTACTCCCTTAACTAACTCCAAGGTTAAATAAAAATGAGGAGCTGGGGCAGTAGGTTTCCAGAGATAATGTGTTTGCAGCTGACCCGGATTCTATCCCCTGTACTTCCTAGGGTCCCCACCCTGAGCCCACAGCCAAGAGAAAGCCCTGAATGAAAGAAAAAAGGAAGGAAGAAAGGAAGGAAGAAAGGAAGGAAGGGAGGGAGGGAGGGAGGGAGGGAGGGAGGCAAGGGATGTTGGGAGGGAGGGAGGAAGGAAGGAAAGAAGGGAGGGAGGGAAGGAAGGGAAGGAAGGGAGAGAGAGAGGAAGCTACAACAACATCTGACCTATGACCTTGGCGTATGAATCGCCCCCTCCTCGTGTGGGTCCCCTTCACTCTCCTTGAACCCCACCTCCCGATTCCTCAGCTCAGGGGACAGAACCCTCATTGGGCCTCACTGGCCAAACGAGAAGAGAGAAATCCTCTTTACTGTGTAGTTTCCATAGGCAGATCCTTTGTTTGTTCCTGCCTTACTATGTCTGTTGATTATTTAACCATTAAGAACCCAGAGTGGTGGGGGGGAGGGGAAGACTAGGGGGACGGAATTCCTCTTTTCCCCAACATGACTGATTTTATGGCTTTAAAACTCCCCAGGACTGGAGCGATAGCACAGCGGGTAGGGCATTTGCCTTGCATGCAGCCAACATGGCCGACACAAGTTCGATTCCTCCTCCCCTCTCGGAGAGCCCGGCAAGCTACAAAGAGTATCTCCCCCTCACGGCAGAGCCTGGCAAGCTACCCTGATGTATTCGATATGCCAAACACAGTAACAAGTCTCATGATAGAGACGTTACTGGGCCCGCTCGAGCAAATCGATGAACAATGGGAGGACTGTGATCCGTGAAACTCCCCAAGTTAAAAGCACAAGCAGCACTGGGCCAATAGGCATCAGGGCTTCAGTGATACCAATGATATGGGCGAGGGGGTAGCCAGAGATCCAGAACACAGACTCAGCAACACTGAGAGTATGAGATCTAAGCGGCAACCACTGGAACTTGGAACAAGGGGCCAGGCAGGGTGGAGTGGGGGCTCGGATGGGGAGGGACTCCGGACCATGTTGAAGGGAAGCTGACACTGGTGGTGGGAGTGGTTTTGAGTCACTGTAGGACTAAATCTCAACTATCAGTAACTTGGTTTTGGTTTTGTTTGGTTTTTGTTTGGGTCACACCCAGCAATGCTCAGGAATTACTCCTGGAGGTACTCAGAGGACCCTATGGGATGCTGGGGCTCGAACCCAGGGTGTGCAAGGCAAACGCCCTCCCTGCAGTACTACTGCTCAGGCCCCGCTAACAGTAATTTTGTCAATCGCTGTTTTTTAATTTAAAATGTTTTAAAAAATCAAAACATAAAATACAACTCCCACGCTCACGGTACCTGGCGCGGGGGGTGTGTGAAGGATCAGCTCCCGGCTGTTGGGGCTGCAGATGGAGCCCTTGTAGGCGCGGACCCTGAAGGCGTAGAGGCAGTTGTTCTCCAGGTCTGAGATGACCTTGCTGGTGCCGAGCACCTCGACCTCATTCCAGGATAGCATTTCATCATCTCTGGTGACCTTCCGGTACTCAAGGACATAGTTATCAGCCTTATCCTTCTCCTGGTGGTCCCAGCTGATCAGAGCATTGTTGTACACTTTGCTCTGCTCCTCATTGATCTCTGGCACATCTATGCCTAGGGGGGAAAAAATCCACAAACAGGAAACAATGTTAAAATATTACTACCTGGAGTTGGAGCAATAGCACAGTGGGTAGGGTTTACCTTGCACGCAGCCAACCAGGTTCGATTCCCAGCATCCCATATAGTCCCCCGAGCACCGCCAGGAGTGATTCCTGAGTGCAGAGCCAGGAGTAACCCCTGTGCATTGTCAGTGTGACCCAAAAAGCCAAAATAAGTAAATAAAATAAAATACTACTACTTCAGAGCCTCAATCTGTTCACGATAAAAAAAAAATGATGTTCTAATAATACCTGACAGCGGCCATCGTGCCCAGGAATTTTCTATAATAACCTTGTCTAAGAATGAAAACAAAAAAGCTATCCTTTTATCTGCCACAATGCAGATGAACACGGAGGCTATGCTGGTACATGGTGAGAATCAGACACAGGCTCATTGCATGAGTCCGCTTAGATGCAGTAACTCAAACAGGGGGTGCCCGGGTCAGGCGGTGTCGCGGAGTGGGGTTATCAATCAACTGCAATCGAATGTCAGCGGAGCAGGAAGCAGCTCTCTCAAGATCTGCAGTCCCAAAGCACTTGAGTGGGACATGGAGGGGCAGGAGTATGGGGGAGGGGTGCTCGGGCCACACCCACTGGGGGTCCTGTTAGATCCCCAGCACTGAAAACAGAAGAGGAAAAAAAGAAGGAAGTTAAACCTCTTAGTGTTCTTACTACAACTGGGTTTTTTTTTTTTTTAAAAAAAAAAGGGTGGGGGGATGGGGCTGGAAAGAAGTAAAAGTAAAGTAAAGGCCCTCCTGTTGATCATCGATTTGCTCGAGCAGGCCCAGTAACGTCTCCATTGGAGACTTTGTTGTTACTGTGTCTGGCATATCGAATACATCGGTAGCTTGCCGGGCTCTCCGAGAGGGGCAGAGGAATCGAACTCGGGTCGGCCATGTTGGCTGCGTGCAAGGCAAACGCCCTACCCGCTGTGCTATCGCTCCAGCAAGGCGTTTGCCTACACACAGCTGACCTGGGTTTGATTCCTGGTACCACATAGGATCCCCCAAAAGCCACAGCAAGAGTGAGTCTTGACACAGAGCCAGGAAACATCCCTGAGTACTACCAGGTGTGACCCAAACCCCTCATTCCCACCCACCCCCCCAGCAAAAAAAAGAAAAGAAACCTTTAATTAGTATAAATGCATTTATAATATAAAATATAAACACACACACACAAAGACAGGGCTTTCAGCACTATAGTCACTATGCTGGGTGTTTCGTTTGGTTTGGGGGCTACACCCTGCCATGCTCAGGGCTTACTCCTGGCTCTGCACTTAGCGATCACTCCTGGCAGTGCTCAGGGGACCAAATGGGGTGCCAGGAATCGAATCTGGATTGGCCTCATGCAAGTAAGCTGCCTACCTGCTGTCCTATCATCATTCCCCAGCCCCCTCTCATCACTGATTATTAAAAACAAGGTTAATTGTTAGCCATATGATGTCAGTTCCTTTCTTTTTGTTTGGTTTTGGTTTTGGTTTTGGTTCTGAGCCACACCTGCTTATGCTCAGGGCTCACTGATGGCAGGGCTCAGGGGGCCATATAAGGTAATGGGTATTGAACCCGGGTCAGCTGTGTGAAAGGCAAGTGCCCCGTTCGCCACACTATCTCACCAGCCCCTATGCTTTCAATATCTATCTACGGAATAACAAATTCTGGATTCGGAAATCATTTATGCCATGAACAAACTTATTTTAGTAAGTATTTGGGCAAGCGGGGTGGGGGTAGGGAGGTTGGGGTGAAACCTAACAGTTCTCAAGGGCTGTTCCTGGCTCTGCTCAGGAGTGACACCTAGAGGTGCTTCCTGTGTGGTGACAGGGACTGAACTGGGTTGGTCACATGCCAGGCAAGTGTCTCCTGTACTCTCTTCTCTGTCCCCTCTCTCTCCCACCCTTCTGCTCCCTCCCTCCCTCCCTCTCTCTGTCCTCCCTTCCTTCCTTCTCTCCCCCTTTTTTTTGCTTTTGGGGTCACACCCAGCAATGCTCAGGGGTTACTCCTGGCTCTGCATTCAGGAATTACTCCTGGTGGTGGCTGGGAGACCATATGGGATGACAGGGATTGAACTCGGGTCGGCAGTATGCAAGGCAAATGCCCTACCTGCTATACTATCACTCCAGCCCTCTCTCCCTCTCTTGCTCCTAGTATTTTTAATTCTAAGTTTGCTAAGTAAAACAAGCTCCAATGAAGCATTAAAGCTATTAATTTCCATTTGTCTTCCAGAGTTGCTAGGCAATGTAAATGAGTTTTTCTTATTATAAATAAGATACTTAACCTTTTTAAGAAAGAAAACAGAAAAACTCCAAGTTAAGGAACTCAAAAGATAATTATTGCAAGAATTCTGCTGAGACCCTGCCATTATTTCTCCCCTGGTAGCATATTTCGCTACGTGGCTGCATCACCATTTAACTCTATTTCCAGAAACCCGTTTTTTTTTTCTATTGGAGATACTGTTATAATATCAAGTAAGCCTTAGTGCGTATCATAATCCTTTGCACAGAATGAGTTCCACAGGGATGCACTGCCGTGTGGTGCAAATAAAAAGTTCCACAGATTACAGAAGAGTATGCATGCACGCGCGCACACACACACACACACACACACACACACACACACACTTGCTTCAGATCAGGAAGAACAGAAAATGGCAGCTAAGTATCTCCCTCCTTATGCCCTGCTCCTAATACAGTAAGCAAGGCCTGTATGAGTCTATAACAGTGCATTCAAGCACTGACTGGCCCAGTGCCACCAGGAAACCTGACAGTCACACCAAATACACACTAGGGCTGGAGAGAGAGTACAGGGCTCAAGGCGCTACCTTGCCCATGGCTGATGCCAGTTCGATCCCCAGTACTATTGGGTGCAAGTCCCTAACCAAGCAGTGACAGAGTAACAGAGAAAAGGAGATCATAGCACAGTGGGTAGGGAATTTGCCTTGTATGTGGCCAACCCGGGTTCAATTCCTCCACCCCTCTTGGAGAGCCTGGCAAGTTACCAAGAGTATCCCGTCCACATGGCAGAGCCTCGCAAGCTCCCCATGGCGTATTCGATATGCCAAAGTAACAACAAGTCTCATAATGGAAATGTTACCGGTGCCCGCTTGAGCAAACAGATGAACTATATAGATACAGATATGTAAGTAAGTAAGTAAGTAAGTAAAGGCCCTCCCGTTGATCATCGATTTGCTCGAGCGGGCCCAGTAACATCTCCATTGGAGACTTTGTTGTTACTGTGTCTGGCATATCAAATACTCTCGGTAGCTTGCCGGGCTCTCCGAGAGGGGCGGAGGAATCGAACTCGGGTCGACCATGTTGGCTGCGTGCAAGGCAAACGCCCTATCCGCTACATATATTTTTAATGTGAACTTAGGGGGGGAAAAATGAGAGCAGCATCAGTGGAAGGCTGGGAGAAGCCCTCGCCCCTGCCTTCCTCTCCTCTGACGCTGTCCAGGCTGGTCTGGAATGAGCCACCTCTAGCCTCTCCTTCCCACAGACCATTTAGGAGGAAGGAGGAACTTGACTCATAAGGAAACTGGCCTGGGTATTTTTTTTTAAAAAAAACAGTCTCAGCGTGCCTTCTAGAACAACAGGAGGAGGACCACTTCCTCGCAAGGGTGACCCTGCACGTGCCAACAAGAGGCTGGCCCCAGTTGTACCTTAAGGGGCTGTGTGTGCCGATTCAAAAAGAAAAGAGGTGATGGTAATCCCCACCAGGCTTTAGCTTTGGTTGGTCGAATGTCCTTGACTCAGAGTCCAGCCGGAGACTGAGGGCAGTTTCCGGAGTCACCGCTGACCTTCGCCAGAGGGGGCTCAGAGCCAGGAGCAGCAAAGTGTGAGCCAAAGCCCCGGCCAGGGGTTGTACTGTCTTGCACACCCCACTGGTGAGGGGCACAAGCTCAAACTCACCCCAGGGGATGCTCCCAGACCTGCCTGCACCCTGACCAAGGGAGGGAAGGGAGAAACACCCAGTGATGCAGAGACAGAGGATGGGTCCAGCTGCACAGCTCTGGGCGCCCGAGGAGGATGCTTTGGAAGATTCTCCTGAAGGGAATGCCCCCTACAGCGCTGGGTCACATCCCAAGGACGACTTACCACTGGAGAAGAAGGACAGTTCTCCAAGCAGCTCAGTTTGCTTGGATATGTTAACAACATAGTCTTCAAATGAAGTCTGAGCCGCTGGCCGGAAGCTCTTCAAAGACTCAGTGGCTTTCTGTATCCTGCAGACAAATACAGTTTAAGGAAGGAGATTCTAGGAACCAGAGCAGTAGTACAGTGGGGAGGGAGGCTGCCTTGCAGGCAGTCAACCCAGGTTCGATCCCCGGCACCCACTATGGTCCCCCAAGTACTACCAGGAGTGATCTCTGAGCACAGAGTCAGGGGTAAGCCCTGAGTGTTACCAGGTGTGCCCCCCAAAACAATAACAACAACAACAAAAGGATTCTAAAAAGCCAAATGAGGGGCTGGAGTGATAGTACAGTGGGCAGGGCATTTGCCTTGCATGCGCCCAATCTGGGTTCGATCCCCAGCATCCCATATGGTCCCCCGAGCACCGCCAGGAGTAACCCCTGAGGAATATAAGAAAATGCTACTCCCACAGAAGCTGGAGGGACGAAGGTGAGAAAGTAATGGGACCACACACCCCAGTATGAACCACACGCGCGCAGTGTCTGGTGCCAGGCCAGAGGGTGTTAAGTGGACCTGCTCGCAATACCTGTGGTGGAGTTGTTTCGCTGTCTGAACAAAACAAGAGTGATCCGTCTCTTCCAGCACTTCTTGAGCGTAGCCCACCAGTCCGCTGTTCTCAAGAAGCCCCTGATATTCTTCCACTTGAGTTTGGAATTTGTCTAATCTCAGTTTCTTAGACGCATCAATTGCTTTCAAGACAGATGATTTCCTCTCTTCCAGAAGCCCATGGAGCTTTGCAAACTGTGCAACGGCTTCTTCTTTAGCTCTCTCTCCATTACACTGTTACGAAACAAAGCATGGCCTCATCAGCGATACCCTGAACTTCTACATTATCTTTCACGTACAGATAGCCACAAAACCGCAATTCGATAGAACCAGCTCAGATACTGTAAAGAGAAACACCTTTGACGTTAAAAAGCTTGCAGAGTTATGACTTGGCCTCACATCACAAAGAATAGTGAACAATTTTTATCAAGGCATTCTTGGTAATTTTCTAATACTTTAATTTCTGTGAGCTTATTCGCACTAAAGTCCAGCAATAAATAATTTATCCAATCTAAAAACGGAACCAAAAAACTTCAGGCTGAAGGGATGGACTGCAGACAGGGCGCTCGCCTTGCACGGATCCAGCCCAGGTTCTATTCCAGGCACCCCTCGGGGTCCCTTGGACCCCACCAGGAGTGATCCCTGAGTGCAGAGCCAGGAGGAAGCCCTGAGCACTACCAGGTGTGGCACTCCCCCCAAAAAACACACATGCCAAAAAAAAAGGAAAACAAACTTCATGTGTACACCAAGAATAGCAAAAATGAACTGACTGAATTAGAGACATAGGTAAATGGTTATAAATTTCTTAATTTATTTCTTATCCTGGACATTTTGATACTTCCCACCCTTATACTAATTTCTTTTAAAAAGTTAAGCTAGTAAAAACAAAATCTGAACAATTCTAGCCTTTAAGTTAGTCACAGAGATTTAAATGTCTTCTCTTCAAATTAACCTAAGTAAACCGTAATGGATTCCTGTGTAACCTTATATAAATTACTTAGCTTCAGGTTCTACTTCTAAAACCCAGGATCCAGAGAAACCGCAGAGGTTTGATAATTTAAAAAGATACATAAAGGGGCTGGAGCGATAGCACAGTAGGTAGGGCGTTTGCCTTGTACGCGGTCAACCCGGGTTCAATTCCCAGCATCCCATATGGTCCCCTGAGCACCGCCAGGAGTAATTCCTGAGTACAGAGCCAGGAGTAACCCCTGTACAATACCAGGTGTGACCCAAAAAGTAAAAAAATACATAAAATGCCCACCATACTGTCATTCCAGGCTATGAATATTGTCACCAAACATACAGATCTGCCTGTACTTTTTCAGAGACTGGTCCTGTCTGTAGTGCTTGTTCAACAAATCAGATATCAGCTGGAATTTGAAAGAACAGAGTACTTCAAGAGACCCCAAACCCGCACAGGCGACGGGGACCACAGGACCAACACAGAGTAAGAGGAAATCTCCACATGGCCTCCTCTCTGCCTCCGAACCTCAACAGTCAAAGGTACCAGAGTCCATTTAGCTAACAACGAAGGCCAGGGAAAACGGGCCAGGAGGACTGATCAATGATTGGGAATAAAAACAAGGAGGGGTGAGGGGTGGAGGGAGTTAAGACAGAGGAGGATCCATTATGATAATACTAGCTGGAAATGGTCACTCTGGACAAGAACTGAGTATTGAGAGCAGGTAAAAGGATATTCATGATAACTTCTCAGCATCTGTATTGCAAACCATAATGCCCAAAGGTATAAGAGAGAGAGAGAGAGAGAGAGAGAGAGAGAGAGAGAGAGAGAGAGAGAGAGAAGAAGGCCACTCTCCGCATGCTCAGACAAGCTTCATCCCTGAAGGAACCGGGAGAGGAACCCAGGTATGAGGGCCCCGTGGCTGAGATCTCCAAGCCTGCTCAGATCAAGACTGGACCTCCTCCACCCAGCTCCCCACTTTTCCAGTAGCTTGGCAGTCACACTCAAAAACTGCCCCAGGTGCCATGTAATCTCATCAATGGCCAAGATCCAGAGACTATAAAATAAAGCTCCCAGAAGAGAGCGATGCAGCATTTCCTGGAACACATGGCCGCATTTGCAGCCGCATGACCTCTTAGCTCACTGATGTACCTAAAGTAGCACACATTTGTTTGGTTTTAACATACTTGCTTGTATTCTCTTATATACAGGGTCCAGAATTAAATACAACAACCTTCACACACTCCCCTCTTATGGTGGTGAGAAGATGCTCACTGGTGCGGTGAGTGTTTGAATATTATCTGTCATGAACTACTGTGAACTACTTTATGAAAATAAAATGTATAAAAATTGCAAGAAAGAGAGAGAGTGAGAAGAGAGGTGCCTGCCATAGAGGCAGGTTGAGGGTGACTTGAAGGGGTGGGAGGGAAACTGGGAACACTGGTTCTGGGAAATTATACTAGTGAAGGGATGGGTGTTGGAACATTGACTGGAACCCAATCTTGAACAGCTTTGTAATGCTCTATCTCATGGTGATTTAATAATAAATAAATAACAAAGTCCATTCAAAAACTCTGAAAATTGGGGCTAGAATGATAACACAGTGGGCAGATCACTTGTCTTGCACGTGGCTGACCCAGGTTCAATCCCCGGCATCACATATGGCTCCCACTAGGAGTGAGCCCTGAGCACCACCGGGTTTGGCTCCCAAATAAAAACCAAGAACTCAAGGTTGGGGGCACAGCAGGTGAATTGCTGTGTCTAGGAGCCCTGATTCAATCTTGCAGTGCCTGCGCGCACACTCATACTTGGAACTCTGAAAGGACCTTGTCCCACCCTCTAACGGGATGTCTGTAGCACAGGTACATAAAAGTAGAGACGGAGGAATCTTGTCCAACACATGTATCAAAGCATCAGCCACATCACAGAAAGCGACTTCACCCCTTCTTGTTTCAACAACTGCCCTGAACCTCCCTAGTCCTAGTTTCCCTACTTCCTGGTGGCGTCTGTGTGTGAAACTGCATCTGTATTGATGCTCTGCATCCAGTTCTTTCAACATTGTTGCAAGATTTCCCTGCACTGTGTACTAATCATCACCTCAAGCCACCCAGAGGCCAGATGGTCAGTCTCAGAGGTGCAGGGCTGGCGGCTCCTTCATTTCCCAGGAAAGTAGCTCTAACATAAACCTCATTAGCTCATCTCATGCTTTTTGGGTTTGAAAGATGAATAAATGACAATCAAGACAGGTAAGTGGGGGAAAAAAAAACACAACCTCCTGTCTCACTCACCTCTGTTTCTTTCATCAACAAGTTCAGCTCAGAAATCTGACTCTTCACCTGGCTCTCCTTTCCAAGAAGGTAGTTAATATCCTTCGACAGTTTCTCCTGTTGGGAACACAGTAAAGCACAAACGTGCAGAAAGAGAAGTTAGCACAGGCCTGGCTGAATTGGTATTGTTTGGTTTTATGTTTTGTTTTGGCTTTGGGGACACACCCAGCAGTGCTCAGGACTTATTCCTGGCTCTGTGCTCAGGAATCACTCCTGGCAGGACTTGGGAGACCATCAGGGAGATTGGGATCAAACCTGCATCCAGGTGCAAGGCAAATGCCTTACCCACCGTACTATCGCTCCAGCCCCTGAATTGGTGCTCTGACACCACAACATTCATGCTCCTCTGGGGCCCATGACATCGCAGAACATCAACCATAGTGCTTACCACTATGACCCAGTAAAATGGCTTTCCTGCAATCCACACGCTCCATGTGGAAAGAAGACCACGTAGACATAAAACGCAAAGTACACTCCCCACACACACACCAAAAAAACTTAAAACAGAAACAAAAATTAAAATGAGTGGCCAATTTATGAATGAACTCATCCTCAGAATATTATAGGAAAATTTATAGGAAAATATTATAGAAAAATTATAGGAAAAAATTATAGGAAACAAAACCCAAAAGAAAAAAAAAGCATTTTGTTGGGCTGAAGAGATAGTGTAAGGGTAAAGGCCTGGTTAGATCCAGCACCATATATGGTCCCCAAGCCTGTGCCACTGAGCCGGGGGGGGGGGGGGCGGGGGGGCACCACTGGATGTGTTCAAAATTCAAAAAATAAACATTATGTTACTAGCTGGTTTTCTTGCAGATGACTAAAAGTGCAAGTCAATTTTTGTCTTAAGTGTAATGATATATATCTGCAATTCTGGCTCTGCATCTCCTCTGCATCTATGCACAAATGTGCATAGCTTTTGTACTTTGCTCTTTTGGTGTGTGTGTTTGGGGATTGTACTTTGTGTTCTATGTCTGACGTGGTCTTCTTTCCACCTTGCGTGTGAACTGCAGGAAAACCGTTTTACTGGGTGACAGAGACAAGTCGATGCTCTGGATGTCATGGGCCCCAGAGGTGCATGAATCACCTTGCAGATGAATAAAGGGGCAGTGTGTAAGGCTGATGCACAGAAGTCATTTAAGCTGATAAAGGTCCCACTAGAACAAAAAGCTCACACAAATTCCATAGGCAAGCAACAGCAAATATCTTTTTGTTTTTTTGTTTACATGATACATATTTTATTTTTTTAAGCTTCAAAGTTTTTATTTATTTATATATTTATTTTTGAATCACTGCGAGGTACAGTTACAAAGCTTTCATGTTTGAGTTTCAATCATGCAATGATCAAACCCCCATCCCTCCACCATGCACATTCTCTACCACCAACGTCCCCAGTTGGAAACTGCCAGTTTCCAACCCTCCCCCTGCCTCCATGGCAGACAATTTCACCCATACTCTCTCTCAACTTTGGGGCATTATCGTTTACAATATAGATACTGAGTGGCTATCACGTTTGGTCCTTTATCTACTTTCGGCACACATCTCCCATCCTGAATGATCCCTTCCAACCGTCGTTGATTTAGTGATCCCGTCTCTATTCTAGCTGCCTTCTCCCCCAGCTCACAAGGCAGTCTCCCAACTATGGAGCAATCTTCCTGGCCCTTGTGTCTACTGTCCTTGGGTGTCCATAGAAGGACTGCTCTCATTGTGGAATATAAAATGAGATGGACACCCAAAGGCAACAGGAATATTTTAAAAATAGCAACTGTCAAAAACCTGTCCTTAATGTTAGCAGGCCCTGGATCCACATGGGGGTATGTCATGACCCCTTCCACCCCTCCTTCCTCATCAGTACAAGAATGCCCTGCAGGGAAGCCCTCAGGGGCGAGCGACATTGTAACTTGGTTCCAACCTTCTGGCCACTCAGCAAATGAGGGTGTATTAAGAAGCTATAGGGCAGGAAGGCGCCGACCACCTCGAAGCCCTACCTTGAGGGTTTTGTAGGCACTGCTCATGCTGGTGACGCGGTGGTTGGAGTGGTTACCACCTAGCTTGCAGAGGTGACACACGGGCCTCCTGCACAACTCACAGTACATGTTAATTCTCTCCGTCTCGTGCTCAGGGCACATTAAGATCTAAGGAAGAAAGAAAGATCAAAGTGTGACTATAGGTCCACGGAGCTGGCACGACAGCCAATGGGAGTCCACCACCAGGAAGGTTCCCCAAACACAGACATTTGCTTTATGACTCCATGGGGAGTCATAGGTGCCAGCCACACCTCTGGCTGGTCTTGGCATCCACCACAGAAGCACTACTGGAGGTTACTCCAGAGCACAGAACCAGGAGTTGCCTCACCCCGAGCCCAGGACACCAGTGGATTTGACCTCATACCCCTCAAAAGTTAAAAATTTAAAAGAAAATCACTAAAGCCTTTTACATGACTCAAAGCATAAGAAGACATCGAACCACATGAAAAATTCTATCAGTACTGCTCTTCTAGTTTGAGGATTCAAATGATCCACCACATATATAGATACTATTGCCTTAAATTTGGTGAGAAGAGGGAGAAAATTTATTCCTGTCAGACTAAAGTGTGTTTTACCAAGTGAGACAGGCCTTAGACCATCTGAACGAGATAGTGCTTCTTTTTTTTTCTTTTTTGGGTTTTTGGGCCACATACAGCAATGCTCAGGGGTTACTTCTGACTCTGCAATCAGGAATTATTACTGGCGGTGCTCAAGGGACCACAGGGGATGCCTGGGATTGAACCCAAGTCGGCCTTGTACAAGGCAAAAGCCCTACCCCACAACGCTATCACTCCAGCCCTGAAGCACTTTTTGTTGTTGTTGTTAATGAATCACCATTACATACAGTTACAGACCTACAAACATTCGTGATTACATTTCAGTCATACGGTGATCCCCATCCTCCACCAGCGCCCATTCTCCACCACCTGAGGCACTTCTTAATGATTCATACAGTTCCCAAAAGAGGGATGTCATTGAGAAAGGCCAGAACTTATGAATGATGGAGCTTCCAAATGCATTTGCTTTCACTCATGAATGGTGAGACACTGACCTGACTTAGGTTTATTCGGATTTAATTCCCACCTTTTCATTTATTCGGTAAACTATCATCACAGGTACATTCAATACCTAATGCAGATTTTTTTTCTTTGAAAGGCTTCTTTTAAAGTAGTGTGTTAAAAACATTGAAAAGGTGTCCTGAATCCAACAAATTAGATGTTTCAGCAATAACTATTGATCTGAGAGCTTGAACACTTAAAAAACTTTTTTAAAAATAATTTCTACTATATAAAGTCCTTGTGACAATGCGTAGATCTAAAACTAATGGGCAAGATTTTAATTCTTCAGCGTGTCAAAGTGTCAAAATGCAAATGGCATTCTACAAGTAATGCCATAGGATAAGGAGCAGCTCCTAGAGGATGAGGAACAGGTTTCCAGAATTCCACTTTATTAACACCTGATAGCTGAAAGAAATACATCTTTTTTTAATTTTATTTTTTAAGAAGTTATTTATGATGATTTGCTATAATTAATATTCCAACACCAATTCCACCACCATTGCACCTTCCCACTACCATTATTTCCAATTTTCCCAACCACCCCTCAATCCTGCCCCTAAAGCAGGCCCTGAATAAGTTATGTTACATGGCTGGAGCAATAGCACAGCGGGTAGGGCGTTTGCCTTGAAGGTAGGGCTGACCCAGGTTCAATTCCTCCGTCTCTCTCAGAGAGCCCGGCAAGCTACACAGAGTATCCTGCCCGCACGGCAGAGCCTGGCAAGCTCCCCGTGGCATATTCGATATGCCAAAAACAGTAACAACAGGTCTCACAATGGAGACGTTACTGGTGTCCGCTTAAGCAAATCAATGAACAAACAGGAGGCCAGTGCTACAGTGCTATAAAGCTTGCTATAAATAATTTGCTAAAAAAGGTAAAGGTAAAGGTAAAGGCCCTCCCGTTGATCGTCGATTTGCTAAAAATGATCAAAAAATGTTTCCTTAGAAGAAAGAGTGTGAAGACTGTTGTATCTCACCATGGAGCCATTGGGCCCTTGCATAACAACAGGTTACAGGTTGGTCTTGTCAGACATCTTTTTCAATGCGACACATTCATATTTATTCATATTTATTTGGTTCTCTCTGAACAATCTTTCATAATATCTATTAATAAGACTAATTTAGACTCGAAATTGTTGACCCAAAGTTTCATTAACTTCTCACACACTTCAAAACTGTGGAGCTGTTGCCTTTTCAGCAGATCTGAGTGTTGGGGTAAAATCCCAAATAATAATGGTGGGTCTGGTGTTGAAATATTGAATGTAATCAAAAGTAGAGAGAAAGTAATGTGGAAATCATCTGCCCCACAGGTAGGGGGAGAGTGTAGGATGGGGTGGTATACTGGGGTTTTTGGTGGTGAAAAATGGGCACGGGTGAAGGGACAGGTGTTTCATTGTATGACCGAGACTTAAACCCGAAAACTTTGTAACTGCTCTCACAGTGATTCAATAAATAAAATTATAAGGGAAAAAAAAAAAACTGTGGAGCTAGGGACGGACCCAGGGCCTCACACACGCCAGGCCTGTGCTCTAGTGCTCTGGCCACATGTGCGGCCCTGAAACTCTTAACTCATGAAACCCAAGCTCAACACGTTGAATGGGAAGGGGTTCTTTAATGAAGCAACAGTATTAACCAGTTCTTAAAGAAAACTTTTAAACACCGAGTTGAAGCCATAAACTTTTAAAAATCTATGATCTACGGCTGGAATTGACAGGACAGCAGGTGGGGGGAGCTTGCCTTGCATACAGCCGACCAGGATTCAATCCCTGACAACTCCCAGAGTTCCCTTAGCCCTGGCAGGAGTGATCCCTGAGTGCAGAGGCAGGGGCAAACCCTGAGCACTGCCAAGTGTGGCCCAAACACAAACAGAAATGAAAAAGGAAAATGCTGGGGCCAGAGAGATAGTTCGCGGGTCTGATGTTTGCCTTGCACCTGGCACACCCAGATTTGAGCACAGATGGTCCCCCCAGCACTGCCAGGAGTGATTCCGGAGCACTTCCGGGTGTGGTCCAAAAACAAAAACAAAAAAAAAATGAAATTCCCTTGAGATGTTACCCAATATTCTATCACAAGAAAAATATTAGTCTTTACCTGTGTTTGCTTAAAAGAACTTAGGTCAACTCAAAAGGGAAAAAAAAAATTAAAAACTGTTTCCCCATGAAATCTTTCAGACGGGGCCTGAGCAGCACATTCAAGCCCCAGAGCTTATGAGGGCAGGTTTGAATTTCTTGGAAGGCTCTGAAATTGCTTGGAACTGCTTCGAAAGCTCCACTCTGGCGTGAGGTTCTCGACTGGCAAGACTCCTACTTCCTTTCCTGACACGAAGAGGAAACGCCGGTTTAGCAGAGACGACGCTCACCTTGGGCCTGAAGTTGGTGGTGGGTCCCACATACTCATGTTGGGCTTTCACGGTGCCCCAGGGATGGTAGATCTTGAAGCACTCATTGCAGTAGCTGGCGCTACAGTCCATACAGCTCTTGGTGGACTCCTGGGGCGGAGGTTTACAAAGGTCACACATAATAGCCGTGGCTGCCCTGGCCGCCTGCCTATAACGCTCAACAATAGCCTCCAAAGTGAAATTCCGAAACAAACCATTGATTCCTCGTTCTCCGAGATCCACGTCGTGTTCACAGCCAGGGCATGGAAAAGTAGTTGTTCTAGGAGTCAAGGAATTGCGTTTCCAACCTGTAGGGTGAGGAAATCCATGCTCAATTAGGTCAGCGTGGAAATGTATGGAAGGAAGGAAGGAAGGAAGGAAGGAAGGAAGGAAGGAAGGAAGGAAGGAAGGAAGGACATACGTACGTACGTACGTACGTACGTATGTTTGGGAAGAGTGGAATCAAAAATATCTCCCCAAAATGAACACTCTAGTGGTGTCATTTGAATCAATTCGTATTTTGACATATTTTTCTCTTTTTTGTAAGCTGTTTCTTTGGTGGACTAAAGACAATCCTGAGTTATTAGATAGCCGTTGGCCCCCGCACCCCACATTTTCTTTTTCAAAATATTTTACACTGAATTGATATTGTTTATCTGTGCAAGTGTCCTCCCCAGATCCACCACCAGAGTGCCCCAAAGTATACTGTTCTATATTATTCTACAGAAATTCCATACAAAAGCCATGTGAAGTCAGGCAAATCAAACAACAAATCATAAGACAATACTACAAGGGTTAGAATCGACTGAAATTGTAAAATGAACTGTTGGCATCATTTCTACATATTTTGCTCTAAAACTCTGGCTTCCATTTCCACAAGCACAGTAGTCTTGGCTGACTGTCTTGGGGAGTAAGATGCATTAAAGTACTGGACCCCCTAACCAGAGGTCCATGGAGAGGCCCTGGGGAGATGCAAACAGTTTCGTAAACTACTTGAAATTGTATTTAAACAAAGCTTGCATCTATACACTTATCTATATTTTCTGGTGAAACCTTTCCATGGCTTTTTAGCATATTCTCAAAAGACTATGTGACTGCAAATTGTTAAGAACAACTGTAACAGAAACCGTTTCCCACTGTAGTATTGTTTTATCTGGGAAAATTCAGTAAGCAAAATCATGAGCTAATTGAGTATGATCTACAAAAGTTGAAAAAGCTCATTCAAAGGCCTAGAATCTAATCACTTTAAGAGGGACCAACCATTTAAAATCTTCTTCTGACCTGAAAAGAAAAAAAAGAACCACTACAATTACTTAATTCAATAAGTCACAAGTTGCCCCCAAAGCTTGATTACAAATAATGTTATATTTGTATATTTTATACATAACAATGAATAATCTTGGATACTACATTCACCCAGTTTTATCTTGATTTATAACAAATCAAGATGCCAGCGCAGAACAGCTCTGTCTGACACCTGGTTCACAAGAGGTCAGAGGAGCTACGCCTGATGAAAATCACAGGCCCTCAACTTACAGACCTGCTCTTGAGCATGCAGTCTTGGTGGCCATAGGATAACTCCACAAACAAACAAAAATTTCTTATCCTACAGCCTTCTGGCAGACTGCTTTCTAGTCAGGGAAAAGAAATGATTAAACTTGGTTTCCCACTCCTGTAGAGAAGGTCTTTAAACAGTTACATTAACATTGCCCTGGCACATTACCGTCATGGAAAAGGAGTTTGAAAAGGTTATCTAGGGCATTATATCACACATGTACATTAACAATTACCACATTACGCATTAAAGTGGCTTAATGGCATGCAAAATGTCATGGAAAATTTATGCAACTAATGCTATTTATGCAACTAACACACAACTAACATGAAGATATTTTATTCTTCATTGTTCTAAACAGACCTCAAAATGCCTACAGAACAAAGTGGCTTCATTAAAATAAAAAATGGAAAAGCCTACATATAATATATTCTTGAAATGACTTTTTTAAAACATGCAATACAGGCCAAGACACTTCCCAGCACAGCGGGCATGCGGTGAGGTGAGCGGCACGTCTACTTTGAAAACACATGCAAAGGGCAATTTTGAGTGAAAACACAAACCAAACCATTCCCAGAGAGTGAGAGTGTGCAGTGGTCAAGTTCAAACGAATGGAAATTCATATTCAACGCATGCTCCACACAGGAACGAGGTGATGGAACTGAAAATAGATAACTAATCTCAACAGCCAGTATTTAAAAAAAAAATTGCTTGTTACTGGTCTTATGAACTGACAACAGTGATCAATTCAGTAATGGGCTAAAACAAAATTCAAGTATCACAACAAAATCATGCTTTGGATCATGAGGAGACCAAGACTTTGGCAGGTAGACTCAGAAATCTCAAAAAAAAAGAAAGAAATATGCTGCATCCCTTTTCTGTAACCCTTTTAATAAAAAGTAAAATTTCAGACAAAAATATTACCCTGCGCTTAAATCAAACTATTAAACCAATCAACCCCCACTATTTTCCTAATTAGACTAAAAGTTCTTGAGATTTTCTAAAATCTACTTCATCTGTCCCTATGTGCCTACCACTGTTTTCACAAAAACAAACAATATTTGCTCAGGGCAACAAAGAAAATCAGACAAACCTAAGGATAATCTGAGATGCAAGCTTAAAAAGAGAAAAATATCAAGACAGGGGAACTAAAAATACAAATGTTTTCCATTCCTATAACAAGACTATCTAATATAGTAACCACCGGCCAAATGTCAAACCATTTAAGTCCAGGCAAAAGCTTGGCTAAAATTCTCCAGAGACATACACAGCTAAATGGCCACCAGCCTGCCTGGTGTAGGGGCAAACATGCCCTGGTCTTAGGATGTTCTACCAAGACCACAGCTCCAGAACGTGACCCAGTGAGAAAGGAGACAAGGGCAGCGTGGGGGGGTGGGGGGGGAGGGCGCGTCGTCTTTGCAAATTATTTGAAGACTAATCTGGCAGAACTGACTCTCTTCCCCAGACACCTTTAACACCAGAGACAGCTGGAACATGAGTCATGATAACCTGGAAACACAGACTCCCAAGAATGTTCAAACGGGCTGGTAAGCGATTCCTGGGCAACCAACCTTCCTCATTATGCTTCACCACTTAGGTCATAAAGGAGAATTAGGCCTTTATGATACTGACTTGATTTCTAAGTCAAGTCAGTTCATGGGGCTGGAGTGATAGCACAGCAGGTAGGTCATTTGTCTTGCACACGGCTGACCCAGGTTCGAGTCCCAGCATCCCATATGGTTCCCCGAGCACTGCCAGGAGTAATTTCTGAGTGCATGAGCCAGGAGTAATCCCTGAGCATCACCGGGTGTGACGCCAAAAAAAAAAAAAAAAAAAAGACAGTTTATATTAGACCCAAAGCTGGCTCAGTGGGTCTGGCTACCAATTCCCCCACTCCTGGTAGCCACCTGGCCTGGGTCCCTATGGCCTGGCCAGGGCCAACCCCCACCTTTCTCTTCCACAGTCTGCCACTCAGCTGTGCCTTTGAGTTAGTGAGCCCCTGGTGCGAGAATTTAGAGCCACACCAAACTTTATCCTCAACTAGCCTTGAAGCCAAACACTGACTTTTTCATAAGTCAACTGCTCTGACCTTTCCAATGACAAAAACCTCCACTTTTAAAGGTGGAATTCTACAACTCCTGGAACTGTGGTCATTTCCATTCCAGGCCTGTGGTGGAGGGTCAGAAATACAGAAAAGGGATGATGATTCAGGGCAAGATTTTACCAAAGGGGGAGGTGTCCACAGCAAGCCACCCAAAAGTGGCCAATTTTACTTGGAAGGTGAAGTGGAGAAAAAGAAACATGGAATCCACTGACCCCTCCCTCATGGAGAATCCCTCACAGCCTTGAGAAACCCTGACAAGCCAGGGCCAGGGCAGAAGAGTGAGTGCAGGCGGGTAAGGTGTCTGGTTGGATCCCTGACACTGCAGACGGGCCCCTGGGCCCCTCGGCCGGGGTACTCCTGAGCACTGTAGGGAGGCAGGTAGTCCTCCCGATAAACATGCACTGCGCATTATTTAGCCACAAAGGGGCAAAGCCTAAATGGTAAAACTCTGATGCCAAAGATTTTCAAACGTGAAGATGCCATATGCACGCAACTAGCCAAGACGGGGCTATATTTAAAAAAAAAAACTGTGCTGGAGAAGATAACAGAGGGAAAGGCAGTTGCCTGGCATCCTGCCAACCCCACTTCAAAGCCCCTCAAAGCTCTGGTACCACATATGGACCCCTAAGTGACCATCCAGGGTCACTCCTGAACACCCCAGGGTGTGGACCAAGCCCCAATTCCTCCCACCCCTGTAACCCCCCATCCCCCACCAAAAACAAGCACCCCCCCCCCCAAAAAAAAAAACCTGAAGTAAATGTTTGAAGTCACTAGAAAGTACTGGCTTATTTAACCTCTCCCAGAAACGCAGCTGTTGGGGCCGGAGTGATAGCACAGCATGTAGGGCATTTGCCCTGTGTGCAACCGACCTAGGTTCGATTCCCAGCATCCCATATGGCCCCCTGAGCACCGCCAGTAGTAGTTTCTGAGTGCAGAGCTAGGAGTAATTCTGTGCTTTGCTGGGTGTGACCCCAAAAAAAAAAAAGAAAGAAATGCAGCTGTTCAGGGAAGCTTAGTTCCACAAAGCCAATGGGAAGCTTTGGGGCGTAATACTGAATAAACAGGAGCATGCCTTTTCTTCAGAGATATCTTGCCAGGCCCACTGAGAAATGGGAGCACTGATCAGCAGTGCTCCTGTCCAGAGTCTCAAGGGGAAAAACTTCCTCGTGAACTGAGTCCCAGGGACCTTTAAGTCATTTCAGCCAATTGTGTTCCCTCTCTCAGATCAGTTTGAAGACTTGACCACTGATGTTGTGAAACCCCGGGGACACAAGACTGTCCTTGCTGCAGCCACATGAGCAAGAAAGTATTTTCTACCTCTCCACCCCAGAGGTCTCCACTGGGAAGCTGGGAACAATGAACAGAAAGCTAGATTTAGAATTGGATTTCACAGAGAAGTAGTCACGGCTTGTTAACAAAAGAGAAAGCAGTAACTGTGTGACTGTGTCCTGCACAAAATACAATTATTGAAATAACAGTTTGGGGTGGGGGACGGGGAGCCAGGTTTTCCTGGTACACAGGGCACTGACAGAGCCACCGGTGCCCGAAGACACTCAGCAAAGCAATTCGAGTTCCAAATGCATCACTGTGGGGGCAGCACTTAGGAGAATGACACGGAGTTCTTATACAGATTGATTTTTTTGAATCACGTTTAATAAACTATTTTACTAAGCGCTTCTGATAACTCAGGAAAAGACAGACAGCACTGCAGTGTCTTGTGCTTCGTGCGTCTGCAGACTTCAATAGACCACATCTTTCAACATACGAATGAGAAAGAAGCTGGTCTCCCTGCTCGACCGTGTTTCCTACCAAACCCAGGCATCCGTCTAGTTTTTACGATCTATCAAGTGACCAAAGCAATGCTGTCTGAAGGAACACAGGGACAGCGGTGATGGCCACATCTGTCACTATGCTCTCTTCCAGCAGCAGCTCTGTTAGAAAGTAAAAAGAAATGAGTAGGGACTGGATCGATAGCACAGCGGGTAGGGCATTTGCCTTGCACACGGCCAACCCGGGTTCAATTCCTAGCACCCCACATGGTCCCCCAGCACTGCCAGGAGTAATCCCTGAGTGCAGAGCCAGGAGTAACCCCTGTGCACTGCCAGGTGTGACCCAAAAAGAAAAAAAAAATGAGTAAAATCGGTTTTGGTATTGTAGGTTCCTGAACCAGCCTGCCCCAAATGCTATCATTTCAAAATGTGATTTGTATGAAAAATAGGTTCTCTTTTCCAAGTGTGTACTTGACACTGAAAACATATCTCAATACAGACAAGGTATGTTTCGAGCAAGCAACCGCTTTACAAAGAGAGCGTGCGCTACTCTGCAAGGTCCAGGTCTACTTAATCCTGCCTCCCACTTTTTAATTTTGAGGTTTTTGAGTCACATCCTCAGCGCTCAGGGGCTACTCTCAGTTCTGAGTCTGGGGACAGTCCTGGTGCTCCTGGGGGCTGGGGGAAGGAGGGGAGAAGGTGACCATGTCGTATAGGGACCAAACACGGGCCTCCTGCTGTGCTAGCCACTGAGCTATCTCTCTGGCCCTTAGTCAATCCCTCTACTAAAACCATGGCCAAAGTAATTATTAGAGTCTTATTCCTCCCACACCAATTGCCTGGCTTCCTTCTCAAATACGTCTAACCAGTTTCTTTTTTGAAAAAGGAGAAGTCTGGAAGTCAGTCAGAAAGAGATAAAAACAGAATGAGCTCTCTCATCTGAGGGCCCTGAAATACACGGCAAGGTAGTAAGTAACACAGAGCCAAGGGCAAAATAACGGGAAGAAATTGACCCACACAATTGAGCTGATGAGGGGAGTTGGGGTGCTGGGAGGGAGGAAAGTGGGCACAGCGGTGATGGGTGTGGAATTATCTGCATGAGAAGCCATTGTGAATAGTACTATAAACCACAGAATCTCAATTAATAATTAAAAAACAAAAATAGTAAGTTCTGAGTGATAATACAGTGAGGTAGGGCATTTGCCTTGCATGAGACCAACCTGGGTTCAATCACTGGCAGCCCATGAGGACACCCTAGCCTGACAGGAGTAATGCCCATGTGCCCAGCCAGGAATAAGCCCTGACCACTCAAAAAAAAAAAAAAAGCTAATGAGGATCTTGTTCATTTGAGATTGTTTAGCATTTAGCCATGTCCGGCACCAGGCGATCACAGAAGTATCTACTGAGTGAATTAATACAAGTGGCACTCAGAAAAGGAGAGCACCCTTCAGGGCTGGAGAAGATACGGGCTGGTCAGAAGAACTGGGGTCCCGCTCCCCGAAGCAGAGCTCTCCCCACGAGCATTTGTAATCTGCTTATCTATGCGTTGCTGAAAATGAAGGTGCCAAACACGGAGACGCCATCTGGGAAGGCCTGGCGCTGTTTAAGATGCGGGTAGGCGGTGTTGCCTAGCTCAACTGGCCAGGTGCTCTGAAGTAACCAGGACTGCCAACTTTTCACACTACTCCAGCTCTCACACCAACACCAGCATCGGGTTTTGAAGGGGGAGAAATATTCATGGAGTGCTCCTGCTGCCCCGTGCCCCTGGCCTGCCTGCTGTAGCCCTTCCTACCAGCTGCCGGGTCCAGGTGCTTAGTCACTGCAGGGCTCCACAGCCTCCAACGCACAGCCCGGAGTCATCTGGTTTCCTCCCCGTAGCTGAGGGAATGGGTAAATGAGGCTGAGAGCGAGCACAAAGGGTGAGCACTCAGGCTTGCATGCAGGGAGGTCTGAGTTCCAGCCCTGTGTGCGCTGTGAATCAGAGCATTGCTGGGTGTCACTGAAATCCAGGCCAGGGGGTTGGGCAGCTAAATGAATCCTTCTCCAGGCTCTCTCCCTCTGACCACCCCTCCCCCATCAGTATTCATGACACCTGGGTCCAGCCAACTTTACAAATGTACCTGATTTGGCCCCTGTTGCGTCTAAATTTGATCCCTAACTGAAACAACATCTTGTGGCTAGGATTCTGATCCAAAGAAACTGCCTTGGATGTTGTTTTCTCTAGTGCTCCGTTCAACTGCCTCCTGAGTCCCTCGGCTTGTGCTTGGGAACCCTTGGCGCTGAAGACTGTGCCACAAAACGGCCCCCACTGCCCTGCGCCAAACTAAACACTCTATTTCCAGTCCCTGGTCGTCACTGAAAAGTTTCTAAGTCCCTCCTCCCTCAGAACATGATTCAACTAAATAGGGAGTACATCGGAAAAAAACACAGTTTCAGGGGCCAGAGAGAAAGGACCGCAGGCGAGGTGGTTGCCTTGCGTGCGGCTGAGCTGGATTCAGTCCTTGGTACCCCATAAGGTCCCCTCAAGCACCTGGGGGAATAAGCCCTGAGCAAAGTCAGGTGAACCCCAAAACCAAAAGAAAGAAATCTCTGTGAAGCAAGAGTATCTCTTTAGAACCAATCTCCTTTTACTTTTCAATAAATTAAAAACAATTTTTCTTTGGTTTGGGGTCACACCTGGAGACACCGCCATCGTGATGCATGAGGGATGCAGATGAAATATAGGTCTCCAGCATACAAAGCGTGCACACTGGTGCTCTACGTAGTCTCCCTGCCCCCTCAACCCAGGGACTCAACCTCTCGGATGCAGTTCACGGATATGAATGCATGCCAGGCACCATCTCAGAGGAGAACAGCGGTATTCTCCGAAAGGCAAAGAAAGGGGCCAGAGAGACAGTACAGCAGGGAGGCCGCTTGCTTTGCACATGGCTGACCCAGGTTCAATCCCCAGCCCCCCCCCCCCCCCATATGCCCCTTGAGCCCTCTCAGGAGTGATGCCTGAACGCAGAGCCAGGAGTAAGTCCTGAGCACCACTTGGATGTGACCTATAAAAACAAACAAAAAACACATAAGAGGTAAGTAAGGGGAAAGAGTCTTTCTACAGTTCTTTTAAAGAGAAAACAGGATTGAAAAGTTACTCCTTCACTGTAAGAGGAGGGAACAAAGCTGGGGGGCTCAGTTAACCCTAAAGCCTCCGAGCCCCATTTCAGAGAGCCACGGCCCTAAAGCCCAGTGCTCAGAGCAGGGGGCAGCCGGCGCACCTCTGGACAGCCCAGGGCTTCACTGCCCGCGGACCGGCAGGCATGGGGGCAGGCCAGTAAGTGCAGAATGCCAGGCGCAGGACCTCTCTGGCCCTCTCCTCCACGTGCCCCCCTGGCCCACGTGTGGCCCCTTCTCCAAGACCCCCACCCCTTGGCCTCCAGGACCATCCTGGCCTGCAATTCCCAAGGGCCTTCAAATGAACATGAAGCTCATCAGTCCCATGACAGATGTTCATGAGAAAGACATACCCTCCAGCAGGGAGTAACTTAGCACAGCGGGAGCTGGACAGAAAGACAGAACTCGGGCGGAACTTAGCTAGCAGTCACAAGAGCTATTTTAAATGATAGATTCAAAACAGCCAAAGAGAAGTTGGGAGATGGTTCGGAGGGCTGGAGCCCAGAGTTCAATCTCAGGCACTGCCTGGTCCTCCAAGCCCCACCAGGTGAGAACTGAAAACAGTAAAATGGCGAAAATAAACCTGCCAGGTGGGATAAAATCTTGCTCAGTGAGGAGGCCCAGCCATGCCCTAGCCTTCTCCTTTAACTGCATGTGTATTTGCTCATGACTCTCCCACATATTTCAGTGACCTTTGGTCACTGAAACCAGAGAGAGTTAAGGGTTTTAGCACAAAACCCGTGCTCAGTATCCACTTTAAATACAGAACAAAAGACAAGAGGTATTTATTGTGACAGCTGAAGCTGAGATGGGGGTGGACCCCCTCTAACTAGTTTTAAATGTCTTCACCTGGAAAAATTAAGTCTAAAAATAAAAGGTAACACAAATGATTTCCCTTCCCCATTTGTTACTGACCGTTTGTGTAAGCCCCCCCCTACGGTGGATGGGGGCTCACCCTCACCCCGCCAAGTTCCGACCACACACCTGGTCTGTTGATCCTGTCCATTTTATCCATGCTGGGAGAAGCCAGCCGGATCCTTGGGCTGCTCTGGTTGGAATTGTCGGACCCCACGTCATTGAAGGAATCATCTAACGTCAGTAAGAGCTCTTTCACACATTTGTGACAGATACTGTGTTGACAAGGGAGAATCAATGGATGGGTAAACAGCTCCTTACAGGCAGGGCACACAAGCTCCCTTTCGATATTCTTCATGGTAACCTAAAACAGAGACAAAAAAAAAAAAATAATCAGGGTGAAAGGTTTCGTGGTGGGCAAGTATGGCAGCGTGCTGGGTATAAACAGTCACGTCGATCTGTCCACAGAGAATACGGAAAGCTGGGAACACAGCTCAACTGGGGTTGATTCCTCCCAGCGGGTGGGAGGGAGGGAAGGAGGAAGGGAAGAAAGATCTTTAGAAGACAGAGGACAAGGTCCACAGCCAATCTGGCTCAATCCCCAGCACCACACTGTAGTCTCCTGGGCCCCACCAGGAGTAACCCGAGCACAGGGCCAGGTTATAATAAACCGTGTGCACTGCCAGGTGTAGCACCAAAATACATACATATATACATACATACATACACACACACACATCTTTAAATGGAAGTTCCTTTTTCACAACCAAATTCTATGTTATTTATACCACACCTCAACCTCCAGAAGTCAAAGGTAAAAGGAAATAGATGAAAAAAATTTTGTATAAAATACTAGGGAGGGGCTGGAGCAATAGCACAGTGGGTAGGGCATTTGCCTTGCACGCAGCCGACCTAGGTTCGATTTCCAGCATCCCATATGGTCCCCTGAGCACCGCCAGGAGTAACTCCTGAGTGCATTAACCAGGAGTAACTCCTGTGCATCACCGGGTATGACCCAAAAAGCAAAAAATAAATAAATAAAATACTAGGGAATCATAATAAGCCATCAATCATAAGTTATACAAATTACAGGAAGGAAGGAAGGAAGGAAGGAAGGAATCCAGACAGTTAAGTAATTGCCGTGCACATGGCTGACTCGGGTTTAATCTCTGGTGTCCCATATCTTTCCCCTAGTCAGGAGTGAGGCGTGATCCCTGAGCAGATAACCAGGAGTAAGCCCTGAGCACCACCAGGTGTAGGCCCCCACCACACCCCAACAAAAAAGAAACCTACTAGTGAGAGCCTCACACTAAATCACTTCAATAAAATGAAGACTGCAACGCCAAAAACAAGGCTTTAATTGTGATGTACTAAGAAGTGACTCTGATAGCAGATGAGAGAGCAGGGAAACCTGAGATAGCATGTACCTCTGATGGAAACACCTAGTTGGGTTTTTTTTTTTTTTTTGGTTTTCATTGTTGCTGCTTTTGTTTGGGGGCCACACCCAGCACAGGAGCCCAGCTGAAATCTTCACAAACGGAATTATCGCGTGCCATGCAGGGATCTAGCCCACATCTCTGGCAAGCAGGGGCCTGCACTTTTCCACCGATTCATACCTCCGGCCACAAGCTGAATTATTAACAGTTCTGCAGCATTAAATGTGACCATTTTTCATATGCTGCAGTCTTCATGCAGGTAAAGTGCTGGAGGTTTTCATGCCACATGGAAAAGCCGTAAACCTAAAAGCATTTCATGAATATTGAACGACTACAAGGTATTAGCAGGCACCATAAAAAAAAAAACAAAAAAAGCTCTCTGGCCTACAAGCCTGACATTATTTTTAATAAGAGACATTTTGTTTGGGGGCCACACCCAGTAGCACTCAAGGGGCTCCTTTAGGTTTGGTGCTGGGGCCCTAACTCTCCACACCCAAAGCTGGGGCTCTGGCCTGCAGAGCACTGCCTCCAAGCCACTGCAGACCTCTGCTGTCACAGAAGGCATAGACTCATCACAATGAGAAAGCATGGATGCCCGGAGGACCAGTTTTCCCATCTTTCCCCATGTAGATTTGCTTTCCAAGCTCCAGGTGTTCCAAACTTCAGGTGTGAAGACTATATTCAGTATCTCTGGAATTTTCATGAATCTCATTTTCTTTTGGTGAGGGAAGGGGGGTGGGTGCGTGAGGAGAGCTAAGCCACACCCAGCCACACTCAGCTTTCCCCTGGCTTTGCACTCAGGGATCACTCCTGGTGCAGCTAGAGAGGGACCATATGGGGTGCTTGGGGGTCCAGTGAGCCACGGCACGCCTTGTGAAAGGTAAGCTCCTTACTCTGTGCACTATTTGAACCTGAAAATCCAACTGCAAAGGACTCATAAGCCTTGGACAACCATTTCAAATCTAGAAACACACAGAAATGTTTGGATGCATTAAGTCACTTCTTTTCACTAAAAATGCCTGCCATGCTCTATCCCCACCTCGCCTACCGTAACACAAAGCGCTTTGATGATGTCCAACAAAACACAGCAGCACAGCCAATTTGGCTGCACCGCCATCCAAGGGTCCTTTACAAAGCAGAGCCTCTTAACAGTTTTCAACAAACGTTCCATAGAAGCCCACCGCATGGAACATTTTTGGCTGTTTCTTTTTCTAACTCGGGAATCTGCCAGCCACACCTTACAAGTCCACATCAAAAAGGATCATAGAAAACCCCATCCTATCTCATTTCAACCGGGATATCACGCCTGATTAATTCAAAGGCACATTTAATTCCCTGTGTACCTCCCAGGCGGCAGGTGCAAAAACAAAAACCTTTCGTGTCTCACTTGAAATAAAGCGCACGCTCCATAGTCACAATTGATAGGAGCTAATTGCACGAGGAAACAGCGGTGTTCATTTCACACTCGGGAGGGGAGAGCAATTGGCTCCCCCAAACTGTTTCGAGATTAAAAAAGAAAGAAAAAGAAAAAAGAGGTTTGGCAGGCAACTGACAAGTGCGGGTCCTTTGCTTCTCCGACGCCGTCCAACCCCGACAGCGGCGGGAGCAGACGCACGCCCAGGGCGCATCCTGCCACGCAGCGACCACGGCGGGCACCTGCCTGCCAGGGGGTCGCTCCGGGAGCTGGGGACCCGCACGCCAACGCCACGCGGGACAGGCGCGCAGGGCACGCGCCCCTCCGGCGGCCCCTCGGAGGGACGGACCCCCGTGCCGCCACTCACCATCGAGTCTGAACCGTCCCCCTCCATGACGGCCGCCTGCCAGGTGACATCCACGGCGGGGTCGGGCCGGCGAGCGGCCCCGGGCAGGGGCGGGTGGGCGGCTCCCCGCGGCGGCCGTGGAGTCTGGGTTCGGAGCCGGACGGCGGGCTGGGGAGCCGAACCCGGCCAGCGAGCGGACCGACGCGGCGGCCAGGAGCACCGCCGGGGCAGGCGAGATCGCGCACCGAGCGCGCCGAGCTCTGCTCCCTGCGACGGTCCCGGGAATCCCGCCCCGCGGCCGGCTGCGGCGGCGGCTCCGACAGACTGCGGCGGGGCGGGGCCGCCGCGCGGAGACCTGGGCGCGGCGGCGCGGGGCGGGGCCGTCGCCCGGGCAACCGCGCCTACCGCACAAAGGGGGCGGGAAGGGGCGGGGCCTATCCGGGGAGGGGCGTAACAGGGGCGGGGCGGGCGCCCAGACAACCGCATAAAGCGCACTAAGGGGGCGTGCTTGGGGCGTGGCCTTGCCATGGTGGGGCGGAGCCGGAGCGGGGCGCTCCCCGGCTCGGACCTGGCGAGTCGCGCGTGGCGGAAGTGAGCGCGGGCGGCGCCGGGGCGGGCCCGGGGTGGAGTCCCGCGGTGGGTCCGCTGTGCCGCAGCCCCCGCCGACCCCCAGCGACCCGACTCCAAGCTTTGTTCGCTCTGCGGGGGGGCCCCAGCGCACAGCCCGCCTCCCTCCTCCCGACCAGGCGCCGCCCTCCCCGGGCCCGCGCACCCCGCTCTGCACAACTCTGCGCTCAACAGACCCGCAGAGCTGGTGACAGAGCGCGTACCGACGGGCTGAGCTGGGGAGGGTCCCCCGAGAGGGTTCAAGTCCCCGCCGGGTTTTCACCCCCATCCCCGCCCGGCCTCCTTTCGGCGCGATTCAGCACTTCACATCGCCCCCGACTGGTCCCCCTCACCACCCGACCCCGCATCATCTTTTTCTTTCTTTCTTTTTTTTTTTTTTTTTTTTTGCCTTTTGACCCACCAGGGAGCCCCGCAGCCAAGTGGCGCGGGGACCCGGTGGCAAGGGCGCGCCCCGCAAACCCTCTCGGTCCGCAGCGGCTAGGGGCCCCCGCGCATCCTGGCTGCAGGCGCCCCCCAGGTCCAAGCGCGCGCACCCGCCGCCACGGGAACTTGCCCCTCCACGCTCGGACGAGTTTTTCTCGACTTATTTCCTAGCAAACGGAAAACGAATTAGCCTGAGATTGATGGGTGGATGGTGAGAGCGCGCCGCTGCCTTCCGGGCCTGGAAATAATTCCATCCTTCCGGACAGACAGCGAGGAGCGAGCTGCCAAAGGCGGGGCCGGAGAGGGAGGACAGCGGGAAGGGCTATCGCCTGGCACGGGGCTAACCCCGGTTCCATCCCCGATATCCCATTCCCCAAAGGCAGATGGGCACGCAGGCTGTGGCGGGCATTGCCATGCGGGAAGCTGGCACGGCCCCCACCCCCCACCCCCAGTGGTATCCACGTCTATACTTTTCTTTGCTATCTGGGAGAAGCGGCTCAAGTTTCAAGAACATTAAAAAAGAAGATGGCAGACATGAAAATCTCTTTTCTAAACCCCCCTCTCGCCTTTCCTAAACCCCTCTGCTGCCTGATCTCCTAACTCCAGTCTCTCTCCAGCCCACTACTCCCAGAACTATCAGTTACCAAAGATACCCAGTACCTCCGCAGCTCCTCCACTTCAAGTCCTTGGGGATCCTGAATCCTGTTTACATCCTCTCCCTTCCCCCCTAGACTGCTGCTCAAAGGTCCAGTCCACTTGCTGCTGCTGCCCTCTTGCCCCCAAGGCTGATCCCCTGCCCACAGGAGCCTCCTCAACCCAACCCACCACTTTCCCACCTTATCCTGTGGCTCCATTTGCACAACAGGGCAGCACTGAGCATAGCATGGGATATAACTGGGGTGTCTGTATGTGCCTGAGAAAGTCCTCCAGCATTTGCCGGTGTGACCTGAGGCTGCTGAATCACACTAGTTTGGAGGGCCTGGAATAGCAAACCTTCGTCTGCAGAGACTGGCATCCATAAGGACGGTCACGTGGGAATGATTAGAGAGACCTAATCAATGCTTTAATTTAATTTTTCTTTTCTTTTTGGGTCACACCCGGTGATGCACAGGGGTTACTCCTGGCTTTGCACTCAGGAATTACTCCTGGCAGTGCTCAGGGGACCATATGGGATGCTAGGAATCGAACCCAGGTCAGCTTCGTGCAAGGCAAATGCCCTACCCGCTGTGCTATCACTCCAGTCCCTGCTTTAGTTCTTTAACGGTTCTTTACCCCATTGAAACTGCACAGTGCCGTCCCTTCTCTCCCCCACTTTGGGGTACCCAAACACCTCCTCCTTTTTCAATAGTTTTGTTTCAAGTGCCGTCAAAACACAACACAAGGAAGCCTGTTCTCTCTCTCTCTCTCTCTCTCTCTCTCTCTCTCTCTCTCTCTCTCTCACACACACACACACACACACACACACACACACACACCCTCAGATCATCAGAGCTGTGCCTATTCGATACCTTAGCTGACACTATTGGGTAATTCATCTCTCACAAAGATGGAAGCTTCTCACATCGACTACGTTGAAGTCCAAAATGTCCATTTCGGATGGGTGTTTGATCATTGTATAATTGAAACCCAAGCACAAAAATTTGTAAATCTACAGCTGTACCTCATGGTGTTTCACTAATAAAATTTTTTTTAAAAAAATGCCTTCAAGCTAAAAAAAAAAAAGGTCCATTTCTATTCCTCCTGTGAAAGACTGTCACTCTCCTCCCCCACACCCAACAACACACCACTCCCACTTGGTAAAGCAGAGACGTCAATATTCATTACCTGTCAGCTAACACATAAACCCGTCACCCTTTAGATGATCCACGACTCATCCCACTAACCCCACCTCCACACTGACTCCTCATCCCCTGCAAGAGATTAAATTCCTGCTCTGTCCTAATGACCAGGCTTCAAGTTTCAGTGACTGCTGTGGGATCAGACAGCCGGGGACCATGTCATGAGCAGGGCCTGGACAGGGAGGTGGTGTGGTCACACACTCCTAAACTCTGTCCTGGGTCAGAAAGCCTGAATCATGGACAGGCCAGTCCGGGTACCAAATCCAGAAAGCCCCTGGGTGTGGGGGAGTGAGGGGGTGCCAATGAGGCAAATCTGTCTGAGCAGGCGGGTACAGGGGATTCCAGATGAAGGGACAGAGCAAGGTACACGTCAGTCCCTGCCCAGCCTCTGCCCAGCCAAGCCAACCTGTCATAAAACATTTCTATGGGAGTAGCCGCCAGAGAGAGTTGCCCAGCTAGCCAGAAAGTTCAGATTTCTGCTGCCCTGCCAAATCCTCCTCATCTTTCAAGCTGCAAATCTAGAGCCTCTTTCTTCATTAGTGCGTTGTCATCGATCAGGCCCCATTACTGGAAACCTGCAGCACTGAGGAGGCTCCCGCACTGGGTAGCAGGACTGCAACTCCCATACTCCCATTCCACCACTAACGTCTGATGTTCTCGCCACCTTTTTTTGTTTTGTTGGTTTTAGGGTTTTGTTTTTGTTTGGGGGTTTTTTTGTTTTGTTTTGTTTTGTTTTTGCTTTGGCACCCACTCAAGCAAATTGATGGACAACGGGAGGACAGTGCTACAGTGCTACAGTGCTTTGGTGCCACACACCAAGCCGTGCTCAGGGCTCACTTTTGGCAGGGCTGTGGGGGAAGGGCACATATGCAGTGCCTTCACCCTTGTTCTATCTCTCTGGCCCTTATCTTCCCAACCATTTCAGCTTTTATGTGAATGCTTGAAGAAAATATTCAGGGTTGGGCGTGTGGCTCAGTGGTGGTGGTGACAGAAAGACTGAGCTGCCCTACGTTCAACTCCCAACATGACCAAAAACAAAACAGAAGGACGCTAAGCTTAGAGAATAGAAACACAGAATATCCTGTTAAATATGAACTTCTGATACATACTTTAAAGTTTCAGTGTACAACGGGGGACATATAAGGGGGACATACTTATACTAAAAAATATTCGTGGCCAGGGAGATAGTATAGCAGGTGAGGCACTTGTTTTGCATTGGGGCTATGCCCAGATTCAATCCCTGGCACCATATAGGGTTCCCTGAGCCCTCTAGGAGTGATCCCTGAGTACACAGTAGAAAGTAAGCCCTGAACACAGCTATATGTGATCCAGAAGGAAGAAAGGAGAGAGGGAGGGAGGGAGGGAGGAAGGAAGGAAGGAAGGAAGGAAGGAAGGAAGGAAGGAAGGAAGGAAGGAAGGAAGGAGCGAGCCAGAGAGAAGACTCCAAAGGCTGAGCTGGTACAGGAAGCAGCATTGTAGAGGAGTCTTCCTACAGCATCAAGAGCCAGAAGTCTTAGGAATATGTCCTTATGATCCAACCACAGGATACCAACCAGCAGATGACTGCCACCTGGAACCATGTCACAAAGGAAAATCCAAGGACAGCTAAAAGGATGGCTAAGAGCAAGTACAATGCATGTCTATGCAGTGCCCGTGTACAGACTCGGGATATAGACTGAGGCCAACTGTGTCAACAGAAGTGCCAGAGATGAGCTACTTAACCTGCTAAGGGGAATTTCACCCACTTCTGAGTCAAATGAAAAATTTAATGCTGGCCATCAGTTCCCTACCACTGATGCCTGGAACCCATAACAGGTCTCATTCTGGTCCCTGAGACATTTGCTCCCAAATCCTAGCTTGTACAAATGCTAGCTTGCAAAAGTGATTAGAGACATAGAAATGATTAATCAACATTCTAACAACAAGGCGTTAGAGTGATAGTACCCAAGGAAGGGCACCATGTGAACAATCTGGGTTCATTCCTCAGCACCCCATCTGGTTCCCCTGAACCCATGCCTGAACATAGCCAGGCTCCCCAAAACAAGGACAAACAAAATCCTTACAATAAGACCTGGAGAAAGGGAAAACTGATGGGAAAATTGTGGTTTAAAATGCCAGCACATCGGGCTGAAGCAATAGCACAACAGGTAGGGAGTTTGCCTTGCACACGGCCAACCCAGGTTTGATTCCCAGCATCCCATATGGTCCCCTGAGCACCACCAGGAGTAATTCCTGAGTGAGTGCAGAGCCAGGAGTAACCTCTGAGCATCGCTGGGTGTGACGCAAAAAGCAAAAAAAAAAAAAAAACAACCCTGGGTCAGCCACATTCAAAGCAAGTGTCCTACCCACTGTACTATCTCTCTGGCCCCTGGATTACAACTCATTATTGGGGCTGGAGTGA